TGAGCTGCTTGGAGTGTCCAGGTCTCGCTGGCGTAGAAAAGAATGGTAAGAACCACTGCCCGGTAAACCTTCAGCTTTGTGGAGAGGCTGAGACCTCAGCGCTCCCAGAAATTCTTGCGATGCCTCCCAAAGGCGGCGCTGGCCTTGGCAACTCTGGTGTTTATTTCAGCATCTATATGTACGGCTTGTGAAAATGTGCTGCCTAGGTAGGTAAAGTGGTCAGCTGCCTGGAGTTTCTGTCCCTTCACCATGATTTGTGGCACTATGTATGGTTGACCAGGGGCTGGTTGGTACATGACTTCGGTTTTCTTGGTGTTGACGGTGAGGACGTAGTTGTCACCGGCTAAGGCGAAACAGTTCATTTCGTTTTTCATGCATTCTTCTGTGCTAGCGTCATAAAATCGCTTAGTATCGTGCCTGTCTGCATAGGCCTGGATTTCGTCGGCTTTGTTTGTGTACCATTTTTCTTACATGTCTCTGAGTGATTTATGTACCTTTGCTTTTGCGTTCTTGAAGGCGTCCTTTTTGGCGTGCGACGTTGGGTCATTCTGGTGCGCTCTGAGCAATCGATGTTTTTCATTCGTATAACTTCAATACTTTCGTTGTTTTCGTCGAACCAGTCCTGGTTTCTGAGGACCCAAGGCCCAATGTGTTCGAAGGCTGTGGAGTAGACAGTGTCTCTAAAGGCTGTCCACTGTTCATCGACGCTGGTCTGGTCGTTTTGAGTGATGCCGGATAATCTGTCTTCTAGGTCGTGAGAGAAGTTTGTTGCAGCTCTTGTAGATTTAAGTTTGGTGATGTTCAGCCTTTTAGCAGGTTTCTGGCCTTGGGGTCTTTTCGTGGGCAGGATGCGTAGCTTAAATTTGGATGTGATGAGGCAATGGTCAGTCCAGCAGTCAGCACCGCACATGGCCCTGGTCACTCTAACGTCCTGCCTGTCCTTTTGCCTGGTGATGACGTAATCTAGGAGATGCCAGTGACGAGAACGAGGATGCATCCAGGACGTCTTGTTGCAAGTGGGTATGCGGAACAAAGTGTTGGTAATGACGAGGTCGTGTGTAGCGCACGCTTTTAGAAGTAGTTGGCCGTTACTGTTACATTTGCAGGTTCCGTGCCTTCCAATTATCCCCTCCCAGCTCTGATGGTCTGTCCCTACTCGAGCGTTGAAGTCCCCGAGAACTATGAGCTTGTCTGATTTTGGGACTGCTGAGACTAGGGCATGCAGGTGTTCGTAAAACTTGTCCTTGGTGACGTCAGGATTAGTCATCGTAGGAGCATATGCGCTGATCAGTGTTGCATTTTTGTTGCCTGTTTTTTTTATCTGTAGTTTCATTAGGCGATCGTTCAGGCCTTCTGGAAGCTTGTTGAGTTTTCGAGAGAGGTGGGTCTTTATAGCGA